CCCTCGCTCCCTCGCTCCCTCGCTCCCTCGCTCCCTCGCTCCCTCGCTCCCTCGCTCCCTCGCTCCCTCGCTCCCTCGCTCCCTCGCTCCCTCGCTTCCTCGCTTCTCGTACAGCGAGACCACGCTCCTTAACTTTGCAAGAGTGAGTCTCTCAGTTTCACCTTGATTTTCAGGGACGGAACCAAGCACAATTTTCAGCCAGACAAATTCAGTTTTGGTTTCTCCTACTTATTCAGGTATGTGCAAGTAGTCACGAAATGTCCGTCAACAGTTGTTTGTTCAAACTTCTTCGTTAAAAACTTTTCAGTTAAAATGCATTAGTTCTAAGCTTGAGTGGAAAAGTCATACTTTTAGACATTCGTAACTAAATATGATCATTTAGAAGAGAAAGCTTATCAAGTTAGCAAAGTAAGATCAAGGAAAACGCAATAACAGAAAATACAAAAAGAAAACATTTATACTTATCATTCAGCAGGATCTAACCAATTTAACGAGAATTGTAGGATAAAAACCCCCCATTTTTGTCTGATTCAGGGAGCACAGCCGATTACTTAATTTAAGTGTTTGTACGGTCGAACCTCCTGTAAGAGGACAGTCCCGGGACTAAGGTTTAAGTGTCCGCTCACGGGAAGAGTCCGCTTACCGGAGGGTGAAAAAAGAAAAAAATGCACCAGAGGGCATATAATGTACCAGACTGAACAAGTACTCAATACCACTTATAATATTATTGTGTTATCCATCACAGGGATTTTAGATGTTGCTTTTCTATAACACATACATAAATTTAACACCAATTTTAATACTATGGGTCAGTAATAAAAGACTTGCCGCTAAATATATGTAAGCAGTAACATACTCAATCGCCAATACGTTTGAGGTGAACAGAACAGCAGAAGTACACAATTTATGCACATTTGCATGATTGTCCTTTTCAAACGCAGTGTCCTTATGTAGGTAAAAAAGAAGCTATTGATCAGTGTCTGCTTTTGTGGTTCCCTGATCTTAGGGTCTCTTAACCCTTTGACTGCCAACGGCGCATATACACGCCCTGAGTGAGTGATCGTGCCCTTTGTACCACTTGTGACGTCATCAATTGAAATGTCACCAGATATTCTTGATAAGCAGATAGTAGAGCTAGAATAGATCTATCCGCACAACGGACTGTTTTGGAGATCGACGGCATTCTGACATAGCAAATTGAAAAACAACGTTATCAGTTTTAATGCAGAAATGGTGGTAAAATGGTCCATTATATGTATAATTGAACAATTAACACCCAACTTTTTATGGCAGCCAGAAAGAATATGAAACGTAAGAGGTAGCGAGGGTGAAAGGGCCGAGAAAAAGGAAAGCATAGGGGTAAGAAAAAAACATTCGGAACAGGCAATGGCAAAAAAAGAAAGAAAAAAACAATCCGGTCCAAAATTTTGGCTCATGCGCGTGCGCCAAATTGAAATATTGCACATTTTGGTACCTAATCTTGGGGAAATCTATCTTTTTGGTAAAAAATAGCTTTTTCAGCAAAAATTAGGGTCCATTTAGCGTCAGGGCAGCCAAAAAACTGATTTACCAGTTAAAAACGGCATTTTAGTGAAAATTTTGGCAGTCAAAGGGTTAAGATATCCGGCACTCTGAGTAGAGTATTTGAAATTTCCTCGTTACCATGGTAATTGGCGAACTCCGAAACAGAGGACAGGATATGATTTGCTACATTTGCTTCGCGGTTTTAAATTTTAAGGAGACAAATTTTCGTGCGACTGGCTCGAGGAAAAGTTAAAAAAAGGAAAAATTTGATGTACGGTAATGAAAAAAAACCTTATTGAAAGGTTACATTCATATAACTCTTCAGACTCAAACACTGCTTTGATCTTGGTCAGTACGTGATCAAACCATTTAAACCGAAACTAGTTCGTTAGGAATTTTCTTGATATTGTTCCGTGTCCGTGTCCGCTTGGGAGAGGTGTCCGCTTACGGGAGGTTAAAAATATAGCGTTGGAGAGGAGAAATCGCCGGGACCGCAGTTTGGTGTCCGCTGATGGGAGGTGTAGTTTGAACCTTTTTTAACGTTTCGCTTTGCTCCACAGGAAGTCGCAGAGATTGGCTCCAGCCGATCATCATTTCATCAGCCGCAATTGTCGCCCTCTTGATGATGTTATTTGTTCGGTTTGTTGTCAAGAAAAAACGGAAATCATCATATAACATGCGAAAACGTAAGTTGCTGACTCGTCTGATCATTTGTGGCCTTTTGTGGTAGTCGGGGAGCAAGCTTCATTGGGACTAATTTAGCAATGATGTACAATTAGCATATGCGACGTTAACCAAACGCTTTTAAGCTTTACAACTTAAAAACTCGTTTGAAATTTATTAATTATGTAACCTCTGTTTGAGCAGTACCAAGTTTTTACGAAGATTGTCCTAAACAGTCAAACTTTATATTAGCTGCATCTTCCCGAGTGCCGCCGTCTTTAGGCCACTAAATGCTTGCGAAGCCGGTTCATTTTCAATTTCAGTTGTCCACGCAACCTGCAGGCCAGATCTGAAGAAATGTGCCTTGGTCTACTTGTTATTCTTGTTTTGTTTTTATCCTTGGTAGCTGGTCTCCGCGAAGAGGATCTCATAAACAGACTGTTTATCAGCTACAGTTCAAAGGACTTTGGTTGGGTCACTGACAATCTCATCTCAATTCTTGAAAAGCACTCGATTGACTACAGCATCCACAGCCGGGACTTTGAAATTGGAATACCCATCGTCCAGAACATGGCCGACAGTGTGTACGGCAGCCGTCAAGTGTTGATTGTTTTGTCTGAGAATTACCTCGCCAGCAACTTTTGTCGAGAGGAGCTGCACATGGCTGTACAGAGGGGCGCGGACGCGGGAGATTCGTCACTAATTTTTGTGATGATCAAGAACTTGAAGAAAAAGAAATTACCTGCCGCTTTGAGAAAGAAACGCCTGCTGGACTTTGACAAACACAAGAGGAAACAAGATTGGGAGGAGAAAATATTACGTGAGATATCACAAGGCAAATTGACCTCTAGTGTTTAAAAGTTAGATGTATCATCGCTCAAGATGTAAGTACTATTCGTGTCAGTCCCTTACTAAGCGAGTATAAATAAGAGTTCTACATTTCAGTTCAGTTCGCGTAAGAATCCTTCGCTTCGTAACCTTACATGTTATACCCCCTGCCGGATGATCAAGGTCTCGTCCATGCTACTTGCACTGTTCCTGATTTCTTCAACTGACCTAAATGCGTACAGTAGGTCCAGTTAATGGAAACCCAAATCCAGCACACTTACTGGTACAGAACTTTTTCTTGTAGTTTGTTGCTTTTAGTCGTTTACCAGCTTGTTTTTTTTTCACTCGTATTGTCCCTTACTCCGTTGCCTGGCTTTTATCCATTGTATTCCATTCCCACACTCTCTTTAAGTATTTTCAAGCTTTTGCTGTGAAGTTGCAGAACTGTTTATTATTTTATGAGTGCTTTGCCTCGCAAACGCCGGGTTTGTGCAGTACCTTTCCCTCGACTTCCTTCTAATTTTTCAGGTTTTGCCATATTCAGGAATGTTTTTGTATGTGTGCTTTGCCTCACAAACGCCGGTTTTGTATAGTGCCTTTCCCTGGAATCTCTTCTAATTTGCAGGTGTTATATGTTTTTTGTATGCGTGCTTTGCCTCACGGACATCGGGTTTGTGCAACGCTTTTCCCTCGTTTCCCGTTATGCGTGCTTTGTCTTTCAAACATCGGTTTTGTGCCGTGCTATTCCCTCGGTTCCCTTTTCTAGGCTGTATAATATTTATTTTTTATTTTTTTGTTCCATCAGGTTGATAAATGGTCACACAGCTTAAAGGGCATATAGTTAAAGTTATAGTTAAATTCTGAACCTGCGCCTGATTTTCGCAGATGAATTTTCTAGACTGTATAATTTTAATTTTTTTTTTTTCATTAGGATGATGAATTGTTACACTGATTAACAGGGAATACAGTAATGCTAAAGTAGTACAAAGAAGTCTGACGTCATTACAGTCAGGCAAATAGATGCTAGGAAAGGTTGGAAAGCCTTTCGCTCGTGAGAATCGAAACTTTGCATCATTGGCAAACATAACAGTAACTTAGTAATGGCAAGTATTTTTTAGTCCCCGATTTTCTTTCATGAAATCGAATAATATAGATCAGAGGACGACTAAACGGTATTCCCAACTCCATAAAATCTACAAGAAAAATCTACACTCTTTTAGACAGTATTTCTCTTGATTAAGGGCCCATTAACCGATCTTTTCGAGCCGTTGCTAAGGAAAATTCAGTCTCATCTAACCTCCTCATTTTTAGTTAGTTCAGAGTTATTTCATGTGTTTCAACTTTAACAGTAACACTAGTGATGACGTCATCAGGCCACGTCCATGGTCATGTGACTAATACAGGAAAAATGCAAAGGCTCCCAGGCAAATTTCTTTCTCGGGATTTTTTTCTTTGATTTAATATTTTAATTTAAATCCTCATTACGCTATGCATCGATTTTGTTTCATTTCTAAAAGGTCAGATTTTGAGAG